GATCCAACTATGCTAACAATGCGTTTTTGCACCTTGTCTAAAAGAAAAAGGGCATCATTGGAAGATTTGCCCTAGATATGGCAACAGTGTTCCATACAAGGACGGGTTTGAGATTTATAGAGATAAATATTAGAATCCGGAATAAGAAAGTGTTAAACACGATAAAGAGATGCAACCTTAGCAGATGCTGATTTTACAATGGATTTAATATATGTTTTTCCAGGAAGATCAAAAGTAAGAATTAATCCTAAAAGATTAAGGGTAGATAACTTGTCGAGTACATCACCATTCATAAGTATAAGAAAATCTGAATTATTGGGTAACGGCTGACTGAAAAATATTGGGTTTTATCTAAATTAAAGTTCACCAGCCACTGTGAGCTCCAAGCAAGTGAGATCCTTTTTAAGCTCAAATGGCCTTTCAAGCAATCAAAGAGTATTGGCTTCTTATCAAGGCAAAAGTAAAAAGTAGTATCATCAGCGAACAATGCCACCTTAGATGTGAGAATATCCAGAAAATCATTTATGTGAGTTAAAAAGAGTATAGGGCTAAGGATAGAACCTGGAGGAACCGGTGAAGTTACAGGATATAAAGAAGAGTGCTGTCCATTGAGGACAACTTTTAGACTAATTAAAAAAGAAGGATTCAATATTCTTAAAGATGTTACCTGTTACACCATAAGAAGAAAGCTTATAGAGAAGATCAGCATGCCATAATTGATTAAAAGCTTTAGAAATGTGAAGAGCAATTGCCTTACCCTCTCTCTTCATCTCTATTTAATGTACAATAAAAACCTATCAGTTATTACTGTTAGCAAATCAGCTGTGGAATGAGAAGATCGAAATCCATATTGATGATCAGAAAGAAATTTATTATATTTAAGATTAGAGATTAAGTGTTTGTTAATTAAAGACTCTAAAGCTTTACTTATGATAGGAAGAAGACTAATGGGGCGGTAGTTAGACAAATCAGATCGCACTTCAGAATTTTTGAAAGTAGTGATTACAAATGCCGCTTTTCAGCAGACTGGAAAACAAGACTCTGATAAGCACTTGTTAAATAGTTTTAAAAGTATAGGCGACAGCTCCAAAGAACACTTTTGCAAGGCTATAATAGGTTTGTTGTTTGGACCACAAGCTGTAGAGTCTAAGCAGGAAATCACTTTAAATACAGAAGCTGGAGTAGTACAAATGTTAAGCAATTGATCAACCTGTCGGCAATATCAGGTATAACGCATAACGGCAATATATAACGGTATAACGCAACTAGTGAAATTAAGAGATAATATTGATGTTAAGTTCTTAGCAAACAATTCAGCTTTGTCTTGAGTGTGGTGACAAAATCGGAACCCTACAAGAGAGGTGGAATAACAGATTTGCCTTTATTATTGATACTGTTAAAGATTCTCAAGAAGCCACAAGAGCCTAATTTTCGAGATGAAATACAAGAATTCATGACCTGAGAATAGTGGCCTCTGACGTTAAACAAAACCTTTTTACAATGGTTTTTAGCAATAGTTTACAAATGTCTGTTTTCTGGAGAATTGATTAATAGATTTCATGCCAAGAAGTTGTGTAAGAAACACATTTATCAGCAGGAAGGCGAAAGATTTCTAACAAAGGGCCATCACAAAGAAAATCATGGAAAGAGTCTCAGTCAGCTTTAAAGACGTTGTTAGAGGTATGATAGGGGTATTCTAATGATGAAGAAGATTGAGATGATAGTTTTAGAGAGATTAAATTGTAATCAGAAGCATCTAAGGGTGAATGTGGAGAAACTGAGCACTGACCAGGATCAGAAACAAGGCATAAGTCGAGTAGAGAAGATAAATGATTCGGCTTGTCTGGAAAACAAGTTGGAAAGTTGACTATTTGAAAAAGGTATTGAGAAACACAAAATTTGTGGGCCTTAATGCCTGCAGAGTCACTGACACTAGAACCAACCATTCAGTGTGATGAGCATTAAAGTCACCAACAAGAACAATATTGGCTGATGGATTAAGAGGGCTTGGTCAAATTGATCAGAAATAATATAAAAGAGAGTGCAATCTCGAGTAGCTGAGCAATATAAAACAAAGAGAAAGGTGATAGAGTAAAGTGGTGCTAAACAAAAGCATATGGAAGAATAGTTAGTGGATTTAAACCTAGTTTCCCGACAAATGAGTGAATTCTTACAAATGTAAATCTCTAGGCCAAGCATGTGACTATTGTAGTTTTTATGAATTAAAGAAAGATAACTATAAACACTAAGATCACATGATGAGACAGCCAAACTCACTTTAGTCTCACAAAGAGCAAGTAAGTCTGGTGAACTTTGCAAGAGATATGACTCAACAAAAGAAAAGTTACTTTGAAGACCACAAATATTAGTGAATGATAGGTTTAGAAAACTTGGTGAGGACGATGATTGTGTTATATAGTTTTTGGTACTTTATTCATTTTTGAATTTTATATAGAATTTGACTCAAAACATAGATAGAACTCAGTAAACTATTTAATAG